GTCGGGATAATAGAATCTTGTACAGAAACACCATCTTGATTACTAGCAACCATCGAATTAAGAGGAGGGTAGGAAATAGGAATAATAGGAGGCGCCAGACCATTAAAAACCTGCGTATTAGTCTCACTAGGTGCAATACCATTAGAAACAATCAACCCCTGATTAGTATCAGTATTCAAAACAGTAATAGGAGGTGTAGAGACGGAAACAGAAGCCCCCTTCAGATGAGGATCTGAGGGAGTAGAGTCAGGAACATCAATCCTGCCCTCTGTCACATGCGTAAGGGAAGAAGGGGGGGGGTCAGCAGCTGGTACACAGGCCCCTGCGGCTGAATCCTCCCCTCCCTTTTCCTTAAATCAGGATTAAACTTGAAACAGTGCTCTTGATCATGTCCAAACATCTGACAATGTTTACAATAGGAAGGGTGTTGCTGTAAACTTACCTTCTGCCAGTAACATATATGCTCCGAACTGATCCAGACCTCATCCGGAGGAGGTAAAGTGACATCCCTTTCGATCAGAACTCTAGCCAAAGAGGGTCGTGTAAGGTTATACGTAGGAGCATCTAATTTCAGCGGTCTCCCAAACATAGCCGCTAAAGAGAAACAAACCTCATGATTAAAAAGATGAACTTTCAGATAAGGGAACCTGATCCAGACAGGGATGACCAGCGCCTCTGCCTGGGGATCAAAACTAGAAGACCATTTTAGCACCTTCATCCCAACATTCTCAAACCAGACCCTACGCCTAGCAAACAGCCGAGTATAATCTTCCTCGTTCGCTAACTGAATCAAAATGTGCCTTCCATCCAACGGACCAATTTTCCACTCTCCCGTGAGCTTCATCAGCTCAAAGTGTTGTCTAAGAAAGTCTAGCTTAGGAATGCCATAAATGAACTTTCCGACAGATGTAAATGATTAGAAGAGGTAAGTTCAACATTCTTAGCATCAGTGAGGAAGAAAGCAAGCTTTCCCCCTTTCTGGTCGGGGCGGCGAACAAAAGAGGAGACAGAATCGAGCTCGAGATTTTCGTAGAAAACAGAGGGGAAGTTAGGAACACCATCAGCGGTGACGCTGGAGTAAGAGCGATGCCACCGACTCGCCTCACCACGGCCGCCAGCCTTGACGACGGCGAAAGAACGCACCATGACGAAGGATCACCCAAATCGCCATAGAAACGCAAACCCTAGCAGCAGAGACGGAGACATCGCGAATTATAGATCGATATATATATATATATATATATATATATATATAGTGTTTTGAAAATTGTGTCTTATTGGCCCCATCATCATCATCGATAGCCTCACACATATGTAAGAAAATTTTTAATTGCCTATTCAGATTGCTCCAACTCAATAGAAAAAATTGTAATATAAGACTCATATTATTTTAATATGACAAAAATTTGCTAAAAACTTGTAAAGGATTTTCCAACCCAGCAGAAAATTTTATGGAAACCATTTTTCTCCAGGCTCATTGAAGTTCCATGCACTTTGTGATTTGGTTGTTTAAAAGATATCTTACGACCTCGGTTTTGCATGATGTCGATCATTCTTGCCTTATAGGAAGGTCGGCAGTCTCAGTTCTTGCATTGATGCCTCTTACATGGGAAAAATGTTGGGAGACTTGCCAGATTTTTCATTTATCCGGACTTACAAAGATCTTAAAATTGATATTCTTAATCAGACAATTTAATTTTACTTTAATTATAAGCAAAATATTATAAATTTTTCTCTATCTTAATAACAATAATAATAATAATGTAAGAGCTAAAATTAAATACAATAAAATTGGTCAATAAGAGACCTAATAGTTTGCTTATAATTATGAATAAAATAAATTCTTTATGTGCAATGTTGGTCTCTTTTAATATATAAGAGCTCACATATACAATAAATCTTATGTGATTCAATAATTTGCTAACTAATAAAAGTAGGATTGTTCAATGAGAAATTAGAATAATCACATACTTTAAAAGTCCTAATATTGTCACATACAATAAATCTTATGGTGGTATTCATAATTCTTAAAAGTAAATGATTCAACACATGAAGATCATGAATAAATAACACCTTTTTGAACATATGACAAGGGTTTAAGATATATTAAATATCATCACCTGATCTTTAACATGCCAACTCATAATAAGACAAGACATTTGAAATTCAAAATTGAAATCTTTCAAACAATTCAAGATATAATATTATGCAATAATTTTGAATTTTGAATAATTTGTGCAAGTGCTTCAAGATAGTTCAATTATTTTCAAGATTCATGCTATTAATAGTTCAAATACTCTAGAGCTCCATGCTATTAATCGTCGTTATATTAATAGTTCAATTATTTTCAAGATTCATGCTATTAATAGTTCAAATACTCTAGAGCTCCATGCTATTAATCGGTAAAACTTGGCAATTTCATAACATGCATTAGGATATTTTTTAGCTTTGATGTTAATCTTAAAATATGCGCATACATGTGCAACTGAATCATTATGGGTGCATCAAGTATCACGTTACACTTTGAACAGCATAGAATATTATGTAATTGCATTAGATTTGTGTGTCAAGAATCATGTGCATGACTAAATTATATATTTAAAACTCAGAATTGTTAATCTGTGTGAACTTTGACGATTACACAATGTGCTTAAATTCAAAACATGTGATAATATTTTGCGAACTATTATGAAAATATTTTAAAAGACCTTGCTCTAAAAATTGTAAAATTTTCAAAATCGTTCAAACATATAAAACCGTATAACTCGCATCTCGCATATGTTACATCCAAACACATCAAATATTCATGCATTTTGTCTGAGAATACTGCGCCACTTAGAATTAAGTTTAACTTGAGTAGTTGTTACTTCGATATGCATATAAATCACGTATTTGAGTATTCCATGATTATTTTAAAATTTCAAACCCTCATATTTTAAGATGAAACTAAAGATAATCAAGTTTGATCTCAAGTGGATCAGGTTATTTGTAAAGTCAAGTTTAAATCAATTAGGTTGATCCTTCTTTTCATAAAGCCCAAAGTTGACGAGTCTATTGTTATTAATAAATTCAAATAACAAGAATAAATCATAAATTATAGGTATTTTCAAACATTAAAACACAACGATGTTTGTGTTGATTAAAAATCTCAACTGAAATAGTTAATTTTAAATCAAATTTCAAATAAAGCTGTTAAAATAATAACCAAAATACTCAAGTAAAATTTAGTCTCCTAACATTTAAGTTAAACTCGATCCACTATTGACAACCATGTTTTATTAAATTATGGTCATGGCTTGAATCTTCCCCAATTGCTTCATATCCTTTGAGTTGTGAATTATAACGATATATTTGATTGACACAAATTCCTCTGTTAACTAATGCCTACTTAAAATTATTCCTTATATAAATATTTACTTTGGTTCTCCAAGGTCTCATTGTATGATAACTCATTCATTGTATGATAACTCATTCATTGTATGATAACTCATGTCTACTAACAATGATGTGCTAATCAGGTTGGGTCGACTATCTCTTTTAATTAGTTAGACTAGTGACTGTGATGGTCAAATGACGATGAAATTATGAGATTTTGGTCGGCTGTCTTCATTCCCCTATCATCCACTTTGAGCTGACGGTCGTAGACATTATAATATAAAATTTAAAATATCAAAATTTATTGTTGTTATATGCTAATTCTGAATGCTTGATGTTTGCTGAGTAGTTTTAATCAGAAGTGTTCGAGTAGGCTAATTAAACGTATGAGCTTGCACCTATTGGAAACTTCGAACCTTAGATTTTATAATCCGTGCTAAATGTGGATGAAATTTATGGGCAGTGTTTGATCTATTTTTTTACCTGTGTTCGAAAAATTTGACCCGAAATAAACTCAAACAAGAGTTCGGGACATCAATTTTTTGGAGCCCACTATTGGATATTGTTATTTGGTATTTTATTATTCTCTTAAAGCAACAAGAGGATTTGGAAATTTCGATGTTCTCTTCTTTATAATAGCAGAAAGATTTCGGTATACTATCGGGAAATTAAACCTAATAATCGTCAGGAACCATACAAATTGTCTGTTGTTATGAATTTTTTCTGTTTCACTTCCTTTCTCGCTTGACCTATCGCATGTTCAATTGCTTTCCTAATTCCAGATGGTTCTGCTTTTGGGATTGAACGCCTTAGTTGACATGTAATATAATACATACATACAGCTTTTTGCACGTCCTCATCAAGGGTTTGATATTTTTTGTTGTTATGGCATAGTTTGGTCAATAAGGCAGTATTATTATCCAAACCCACTAATCCGTTACCCTTTTTTTTAATTGATTTTGTGCTGGTGGATATTGACTGATGATGGCAGAACTTAGTAGCTGTTTGATATCATTTTCTCCATTTAATTAGACAATATTGTTAGGTAATAAGCTTTCCGTTTTCTTCAGATCTGTTAGGTTGATACACAGTGATAGTGTTGCGCCACCCTCCCTGTAACTTTTTCAGTTATTATTTAAATTAGTTGCAACGTCACTACCTATTGTAAATGCATAATTAGGTTAGGTTCTCTCTTTGCTTAACATTTCCTTTTTTTTAGTGTCTACTTTTATTTTTAATCTATTGATCCATTGCCTAAATATCGTCCCAAAATGAAACCAGCTCTAGCTGTCTGATCTACTAATCAAATTTAATTAATCCCTCCCATGCTGTGTGGTATACAATTAGTCATTTATGGTTCGTTTGGGGCAGTTTGTGCTTATACTTAAATGCGGCCCGTAAGTGGCTCGGGATTTGACTCGCGGCCTGTGTTTAATGTAAAAACTCAACCGTATTTTCGGATAAACTGTCAGAAACATATTTTCCAAATAATAAGAAGACATTTTAAAATAAGCTGCCCCAAAGTGTCCTTAATCTATGTGAAATGTATAATATCCTTTTATTGAAATATTCCAAGCTGCTACTCGCTAATTAGGACCCTTTTTTCTCTTGTTGTTACAAAATAGATATCTGGTGGTGGCCAATGCGGGGGATTGCAGGGCGGTAATTTCTCGTCGAGGCAAGGCCATTGAGATGTCTTGCGACCACAAGCCCTCCTGCATCAGGGAGAAGAAGCGGATCGAAGCTACCGGTGGCTTCGTCTACGATGGTTATCTCAATGGACAGCTCAACGTGGCCCGGGCTCTCGGAGATTGGCACATGGAAGGGATGAAGGATGCCGATGGCCTGGGACCGCTTAGTGCCGTGCCCGAGGTGAAGAAGATGAAACTCACCGAGGAGGACGAGTTCCTCATCATTGGCTGCGATGGAATATGGGACGTCTTCCGAAGTCAGAATGCGGTCGATTTCGCTCGCCGAAAGCTGCAAGAACACAACGACCCTGCTGCATGCTGCAAGGAAATCGTGGACGAGGCGCTCAAGAGGAAGAGCGGCGATAACCCACCCGTCGATTAACTCGATGCCGCCTCCCCTGTTGGCCTTACCCAAGGCTAGAGTACAGAGGAGCATATCAGCTGAAGGTCTCAAGGAGTTGCAGAGCTTCTTGAACAGTCTTGGGAATTGAAATTTGATTGAAAATTGCAATCCATCTTTTAGAGATGAGTGTTGTCGTTTATTTTACGTTATTGCTTGCAGAGATTTTGTTCAAGTGTAAAGTATGCGGCTGATTCTCTCTTCTTGTTATTAATATTGAGCTTGCTATATTTGTATTCGGATTCTTTAATCCATGTCTATGCTCTCTGTGCCTCTGTTTTTTTCTTTTTTGTTTCGTTGGAACATGACATCATGCTCATTACCACACCCACTTATGTAACAGACTTGCGGAGAAGGTGTGGTTCCTCCTTTTATTTAATTATTTTCTTAGTCGAAGAATTAATTAGTAATAAGCAGTGGGTCGTATGGAAAGCTTTATTCCTGAATTGAGGGCTAGCTTATATGATTGTTGTCTTCTATTTTAAGGGAGAATGGCTTCATTATGGACTTAACTGATTGCGTGATTGAAGGTTTTCTTGTCCCATAAATGATTGTTTAGATTTTTATTCACTTTTTGATGTTCATAATTTTGTCTATGTCCGCTAGTTAAGCATTCAATTGCTCTTTTTTTTTTTTTTTGTTATTTCTTTACTTTTAGTAGAGGCATTTACATATGTTTATTACAGTTCTATGAATTAATATAACACTCAAAACTTTTATATTTACGTGGCCTGCACGGATCTTGTACAAAATTGATGGTTCAGATCAAGAGCTGATAATCATGAAGTTGATCAGCCAAAAGAACTTAGCCAACCGACCATTTTACGGTCGGCTAATCATCGAAAACTTGTTTAGGATCCAAAAATACTAAAAGGCATATATAACGATTACTGATAGGAAAAAAAAAGTCTTTTAACCTGGGCATATGTGTAAATTTCCACTATATGATCATCCAATATGTCTTTTAACCTCATAAAAAAGGGGCATATGTGTAAATTTCCACTATATGATCATCCATCTCTTCTAAATATGCTTTTCAGTGCATGTAAAATGGGCTTTTGCCTCGTAAATTTAGACCAATTTTTTACAGGGAAAGCTCTCTTCTCTTTTGTAATCACTATTTAGATATATAAAATGAGTCAGAGAACTTGGGAATATCTAAATTAGCACCCATGCCTCCCTCTATTTCTCTCATCCTTGGTTCTTACCGCTCTTATTATTGGGCATGCCTCATAAGATATGTTTGGATTTAACATCTTAAAATATACGATGAGCATGAAGTATTCAACGACACGAAAGGAAGCGATACCTACGGGGAGAAATACATCTCAGAGATGTTTCTAATAGGAGCGTAGTAAGGAATTTCTTACCCAATAGATCTGGAGCTTGAAGCATCATTTCCATCGTTTTCCTGAAAGATTTGGCTGAGGCTGATACTGATATTACGAAAAAAACAGTCAGCTACTAATGATTAAAATAATTGGTTGACTACATCAGCCCACTGTTCAGAATTCCGCACATTGCCTAGATAATCTCGGGCAGTTGAGGCCTTTCCTAGCGAATAAAGAGAGTTTTATTTTAAAAAACTTTCTCTTGATATATATTTCCTTATTCTTTATCCTAGGTCCAACTAACACTTAGGGCACTTGAATCCAAGGAACTTCACGGACAGCGACAAAAAAGGTCTCGTAGGTCAAATAATCCACAACGCTCTGGTTTCTATGAGTGGTACCCTATCCTGCAACGATAAGCACCGTGAAGAATATGACGTGAATAACCCTAGCAGCGTTTTGTCCTAAAGCTTGCTTGTTTCCTTTATATTTTGCACTTGTTTATGGATGAAATTACACTTTAAAGAAAGGTATATTTGTGTTTTTTTTTGCGATTTTAACAGATATGATACATGGAGCAAAGCAGAGCTAAAATGGAGCGAAGCGAATGTGAAACGGAGCAAATTAGGGACCAGTAGATTGACGCGCAAACGCCAGTTTTTGGGTTCCAAGACGCTTGATACACCTAAAATATAGACATTATATACACAGTTTTATACATATTTTTTGAGATATTGCGCTTTAATGAAAGATTTTTTGGTGTTTTTCTTTCAGGTACAATCAAATGGATGAAAAATGGTGAAAGAAGTAAAAAAAGATAAAATTTAGAGCAAAAATGAAGAAGGTATGAAATTGAGAGCGCTGCGCCTAAATAGCGCTTACACATTAGTTAAATAGAGAGCTACGCCTAAGCACTAAGTACCCCGCACTTTAGCGCTAGAAGTAGTTACTTGATGATTAATGAATTTGGACGAATTTTTGAAGAGGTGTTTGAATAAACTCTTGGTGAACTCGTGGGAAATAGTTAATGGACACGAAAATTCATTCAATTGACATTTGAAAGGAGACAACTTCTAGAATATTCATTAAATGTGGACATATTTTCAAGAGACACCAAGGCACCTATTGGAAAATTATAAAAGAAGACTTGGATTAAACCATCCATCCATCCAGAGCTATCATCCATCACACCCATACGCCACCTCCACCGACGCACTTCACCGTAGCCGTCTATTTGTTTTATATTAAGTTATAGTTTGTATTGTAAGTATTGTAAGTGAAGGAAGTGATTCAAAGGAACTTCAAGACTTTGGTAGAGAGGATTTGAGATAAATTTTTATCTTTGTGACTACATTTGGTTTAATTTAGACTTCTTGTTTGTTTGCATAATTTCTACTTTCAAACTTAAGTGTGATTATGTTTTCTACATGAATTCTAAGTATTTTTCTTTATCTTTTTTATTAAAATAATTAGTGATTAAGTATTGGATGTAAGTTGTGTGAAGTATTAGTCTTTAATGTTAGAAGAAGTTGTGATGATTTTAATTTTTGTACTTCATTTAATACTTGATTTGATCAATTAAGATGTTAATACATGTCGTGAGAACATGTAAGATCCGATATGCTATTGTCTCAGTCAATAAATGATAAGAATCACATGAAATTTTATGGATGAGAATATAATTCATATGATTAAGGATTAAGTGCAAATAAAATAAACTTTAAAAGGTGTAAAATTAGAGGATTTTAGAGTGACAGACTAAAGCCCCATTTTAGAGTGACAGACTAA